AGAAAACAGGAAAAAACTAGGGTTCGCCTATGGGACTTGTAGTGGCATGCTTACCCCTAGTGCTCAAAGTGCCCGGTACGACATGGCTCGTTCGATAGTGCTTCAATCAGGGCCGGGGCGGGAGGTGAGAACCAGCTTAGCCCTGATGCATACAACCGCTGTCCAGTCAAAAGGTCACTAGACTGGGTGATGATCCTGCAGTGGGTATACTCAGGTAGGATCTTGGGAGTAGGGATGCGCCAGGGATGCCCGGGTAGTAGTGGCGACTTCTCTTACCAGCACCACTACCACCGGCGGGGGGGKGTGTTAAAAAAAAAAAAAAAAAAAAAAAAAAAAAAAAGGGATCGTGATGACGAGTAGTAAAGATGGGAGGGTGTCTCATAGGGGACCGGTTAGGCAATGCATCGGGATGATCAAATGGTCAGGTGCTGGCAGGCCTGTCATATGCCTAGTAGCCAGCCTCTACAACAACCTGGACTTTAAGAAAAGAAAAGAAAAGCGAAAAAAAAAAGAAAAAAAAGAAACAGAACCGTAGTAAAAAGAGGACAGACCCGTAATATGCCAACTCATGGGCGATGACATCCTGTGGGCCCCGTATGCTGAACAACAACTATCAAATCTGCCCCTCCCCTCGTCCGAGGACAGACCCGTGCATGCGCAACAATGGCTAACCAACCCCTCCCGGAAGGTCCCCGGAGTGCCCAGATCACAGGATCCACATACGCCATGATCCCGGACCAAGAAGGACATTGCAAATGACCCCCTTCGGCCAAATATGGTCAAGCTGTGGCGGGAGATGGGCCCAGATAGACTCCCCCTGCCTATACGCTGGAATGAGATAATCAAACAACTGCTTTTCGGCCACCCCCACATTTGTGATGACGAGGGGAAACCTTTCCGCCTCGACGACAGATCACATTGGTGTAGTTTGGTGGCCAAGGGGGTATACCTACTGGGCGATATATGCGACTTTAAACGTAAGAACTGGAAATCGGAGGTCCAAATCAGAGACAAGCTCAAACATGTCAGAGACAGGGCTGAAAAGTTGCGTCAGCCGCAGGAGGCGATGGCCCCTGCTTGGGTGGTCCCACCATCGAACAAGGGGATTGGGTGGTCGAATGGACGCAACTACACTCGCCAACAATGGTCAGTCGGGGAAATTACCAAGTCTGAACCGCAGGTTCACCTGGAAGCTCATAACATATCCTATCCTGGGGCAAGATGCTCCCCCCTGCTGAGAAACGAAGAAGCAGACCAGGACTCGACCTGGACCGGGATGGTCAGAGTGACAGCACTAGAAGAGAGGGATGGAAGACCCCCCCGCCTTCCAACTGGCCTCCCCCCTGGCCACCCTCCATTTGACCGGCTAGAATGGGAGTGGACGCAGTCACCCCCTGCCAAACCGCTTAAACTTTGGCAGTACACAGGAAAACAGGGCTACCGTACAGTGCGCAGAACCTGCCCAACGGACGGTCTAATTAAACGACGATGGGAGAAAGATTTGATCCTTCCGCTAGAGGATCTGCAAAACTTTAGCTGGTCGCAATATACCCATATAATGTCAGCGGCACACAGGGCGCTCTACTGGCAGATCCTATACCGCTGTCTGCCCACCCCCGACTGGCTGGTCACAAAAACAAACCTCGAACAACAAGGCCGCGTCTCCCCCATATGCCGCTACTGCTGCAGGACCTCCCACCCCCTCCGACCGACCCTGGAACAGTGTCTGCTTGGCTGCCTGATCGCCTCCCAGATATGGAGGTGGTGGGATGCCGCATGAACTGCCCTGATAGGGTCCCACCTCCCGTGGCAACCCGGACTTCTGTTGTCGGTGGGATGCCGCATGGACTGCCCTGACAGGCTCCCACCTCCTGTGGCAACCCGGACTTCTGTTGTTAGGAAACCAGACAGACATCCCACCCAATTGGTCCCCCTATGAAAGGAACCACTTTCAAATCACAAGACTAGAGTTGCCGATGATCGCCTGGCGAGCACCTGCTCATTCGAGTGAAATCGGTACACATTCGGATTCCCGCACGCCAAAGAGCACATCACGGCCTACTTGACGTCCATGACAAAAGCAGCATGGGACCACCTCAGACAGATGATGCGGACAATAGACGAAAACCCCGCCCTAACCCCGCAATCCAAAAGACAGAATGAGTATCTGGGTCCCAGGAAAGTGATTCCAGATACCTGGAACTCACAAATCGAATGGAAGCACTGGAGGGCTCTCGGGATCCCTGGCAACTCTTCTTAGGTAGTTTTTGATGCTGTTATACTCAGGGACCTGTGGCTGCTCGATGCCAGCACGACGCTGGCCGGAGCTGGGGTGTTACCCTTTGACTGTTGATGCAGGAGCATGAGGCCTGGTTGAGAGATCTGGGGATGCTTAGGGGTGGGCATCCTACGGAACAGCTAAGGGTTGCTGCTGGGACGACGCTGGTCGGAGCTGGGGTGAGTTGTGTCACCCTGTAACCTAGCAGGATGTGGGGTGTGAGACCTGGAAGAGCTCGGCAGGGAGTAGGACAGTGTTGAAAGAAAGGCCTCGGAAGGGGTGTTAGGGATTCCAAGGGTTTCTGAGCATTTGTAGGACCCGCCAGGTCTTTTTCTATGTTGTCAATTACAAGTTTTTACTTAGTTAAATCCAGTTTAAAACGTCTTCTGGATCCTGGGGTTTCCTGGCAATCTCTTCTAGGTAGTCTCAAGGCTGTAATACTCGGTGACTTATGGCTGTTCGACGCCAGAACGACGCTAGCTGGTGCCGGGGTGTTGCCCTGTAACCTGTTGACGCAGGGGCATGAGGCCTGGTAGAGAGATCTGGGGGTGCTTTGGGGGGGCATCCCACGGGACAACCAAGGGTTGCTGCTGAGACGACGCTGGCCGGAGCTGGGGTGAGTTGTGTTGCCCTGTAACCCAGCAGGATGGGGGGTGTGAGGCCTGGAAGCTCGGCAGGGAATACGACAGTGTTGGAGATCCTCGGAAGGTTTTGTTAGGGATTGTGCGGGATTGGGGGCTTTTTTAGGACTTTTGCAGTCTATTCCCGTACCTTTTTCTGAGTAACGGGAAGGAAAGGGATCGAGAGAGAAAGGTATCACACGTCCTGCTAGTGAAGGGGCTAGCTGGTAGGACAGAAATAGGGCATAGCAGCAGTAGAGATGGTGGCTTTGCTGCAGTAAGTCTTGCCGGAGTGGGGTGAGGAGGACTGTTGGTGGATTCCCGAGTCTTCTTCTGGTTTTTTATTATCTCTGAAGTTCCTTACAAAAAAGCTCTGAAGTAGCTCTAAATTCCTTCAATTGGACTTTCTCAAAACATCATTAGTTTCACTGTTATGAAATTTCTGATGTTTTTTTTTTAACGCACTCATGGGACGCTGGGCCCGGTTCCCAGCTCGTGCCAATTTGAGAGGATATGGTTGTGTCTATGGGACGCTGGACCCGGTTTCCAGCAGGTGCTGCTCCCCACCAATAGATGGAGCAGTGGAGCACGTGTTTTTTCAAAAAAAAAAAAAAAACGAAAATGCCTGGGCCAACAAACCACTATCCCACTTCTCAGTCCCCTATGCAGCTACCCCCCCGTCTTTTATTATCCTCCTCGGCTAATCCTCTCCCCTCCTCACCCCCTCCCCTACCCGACAGGAGTGGCACTGCAAGCCCCTAGAGCCGAATGCTGCCCCTGGGATTGCCACCAGTGACAACAATGAGGAACACCTCCCACACGGTTCGAAGAGCACTTGTTACGACCGTCTAACCTCGACCCTTGCAAGTGAGATGCGTTGCGTAAGGTCTCTGAGGATCCCACACAGCTCGGCGGTCGCTGGCTAGGGCGAGCGGCCTTACTTTTTTGTGGTTTCTTGCTAATACAAGCGCACAACAATCACAATGTGTTTTTGTGTGTTTTATTTATTATTCATGTAATTTTCATCAAGTTACTGCCAAGATGGCGGTAATTCGGAGAGACGCTGCACCACGGGTAGCCCCTACGGAGACAAGCATGATTTGGGCAGAGTCTCAGAGGGATATGAGGCACACAGTTCACTTGCAACAATAACAAATGCAGGGGTGATGAAAACCTGGAATGGACCGAGCCGGAGTGCTTAAGAAGGTGAGCGACAGTCAGGGTTTAGAGAGAGCTCCAGAAGGGCTTAGGGGGTAGGGGACAGAAACAGTGACAACGGATAGGGTGACAGTGGACACCTGGAATTGTCTGAGCCTATAGGCTCTGCAGGTCTGATACGGCAATTCCAAATAAAGGATAGGGTAGCAGAAATCTAGGATTCAGACATACAGTGGGAGAACTGGAGAGCGAACGAAGAGACTTCGTGATTTAAACCCCTCTCACAATTCTACATCCCTTACTCAGCCTCCCCCCACTCCTTTGTCCTCCAGCCCTCGTGGACCCCATCTTCCCTCTTCCCTCTCCCGGGTCTCCCCCCTCCCCCTCCTGACCCCGCCCTCTTGCTCAAGGAAGAGCAGAGAAGGCAGCGAATCGGGATCGGTGGCAAAAAGACGACACTGAGACAAACTGTAGAGAGGAGAAGCAAAAAGACCGACGGGGAAGGGAGCAGGGAAGGACACACAACGCACGGGAAAGGGAGGAAGCTAGAAATCACAATAGGGACTGCCCTGCCACGCACAAAGCTCCGACATCCAAGGCAGCGCTGCGTAAACGCAGTTAGCAGCCAGGCTCTTCAAGGTACAGACTTCATTGGGCCCGTCCGCTAGGATACGCGCAAGCCTGGGGAAGGGAGCCGCATTGGCTGCCCGTCACTCTGTGGCTTGAGCATCGTCGTCCCCAGCTTGCAAAAGCTGGAGTGGCAAAGTGCCACATGGCAAACGTGCGATGCAGAAAAGTCAGCGCATCATTCGGAAGCAATACAGGAGAATAGCCACAAGAGTAGCCTCGACGTGGACAGGAGGTTTTGCCACAACAATGACACGGTTAATGTGGTCAATGCGGTCAATGATGCCAATGGACTCGACTAATGCTTTACTTCAGGGCGCCGCCCAGTGACTCTCGCTTCTTCAGACGAGTCACAACCTTCCCCGACAGAAAGTGGATGACATGGGGATGGTGGCTGATGGGGGGAACGCACTGCCATATCTCACATACCAGAGCATGTTGCAGAGCCTTTTGCACCTCATCACGAAGCTGGAGGAGGGGCCAGCTTCTTATTTGGCAAGGTCCATTGACCAGCGACAGGCGGCGATTTTGATGCGACACTGCTACGCAGTCCTTGAGGAGGGGCAAGCGCCGTGTGCTGTGTCAACGGAGCGCTGGTATGCTCAGTTCAATGTGGAGGACGAGGACGATTCGCCATCATCACCTTCAACACCTATGCAAGTGGTAGGATGTCCATGCATCGGCGAAAACAGAAACAACAACATCAACAACATCAACAACAACAACAGCAATATCGATGCAGCAGTGGCCGTTCCCTTTGATGCCAATTCTTGCACCGGCGAGATTGGTGGCATCAACAGCTATAACAACACCAACAACAACACCGGCAACGATATCGACGATGTGATCTCACGATCGTGTGCTGGCGAAAGCGGCAACGACAACAACAACAAGAACAACAATGACAACAACAACAACAACATCAACAACAACAACAACGACAATGCAGAGGACACCAGTTCTAGTGATGGTGATTCTGACACTGGCCAGATCGGCGGTTCCATCAGTTTCAACAACAACAACAACACTAATGGCGGCAACAACAACAATAACAACAATCACACCGATAACAGTAACGAGAGATTCATCGATTGGGTGACTGGCGAAATCGACATCCACAACAACAACAACGACAATGCAGAGGACACCAGTTCTAGTGATGGTGATTCTGACACTGGCCAGATCGGCGGTTCCATCAGTTTCAACAACAACAACAACACTAATGGCGGCAACAACAACAATAACAACAATCACACCGATAACAGTAACGAGAGATTCATCGATTGGGTGACTGGCGAAATCGACATCCACAACAACAACAACGACAATAATGGTAATAATGCGGTGAGTGCGTCGGGGGATGGCCGACGGCTCCTTTCTCCTCTTTCCCCCTTCTTTTCTCCGTTCTGGCCGCCGATGAAGAGTACCAGCGGCTAGACGATAGGACCCCATGCACCTTTACTATAGCTTTGCATTGACAACCTTGATTGAATGTGTAGGATAGGTGGGAGGTGGTATTGAAGGGGAGGTGTGAAGGTGCACGGTGGTGGCGCGAACGGGTGGGGTAGGGATAGGACCTCCCACTGTTTTTTGTCGAGAGGGATCAACGTTTGGATGTGATTGATATCGCCTGAGTGGAATTGATTGCCCTTTACGAATATTGATGGGCACACCAAGTACTATGAACACAAGTATTCGCCATGTGGCGGGCCGGGGAGAGGTGCTGTTGCATATGTTACTAGGGTTTGCTGGTTGTTTCTAGGGTGCGTCGCTTGGTCCCGGCGACGAGGAGAGGGCGGAAGAGTAGGACTTCTTATCTGAGGCTGCTCTTTCATCCGTTTGTGATTTCAATTTTTTTTTTGAACCCGTGTTCTCCCCTATTGAGTGGGTTTTTGTTAATTAGTGCTATAGGGGAGACACATGCGCTGGCAACACTGGGTAGAGAACTGCAGAAGTAGAAGCCAAACCTTGTCCGGATCTTTCCCCTTCTTACTATACCGGATAGTGGCTGTTTTTTCCAACAACAAMAAAAAAAAAAAAAAAAAAAAAAAAAAGTTGAATAGGGCAAGGGTAATGGTCCTAGGGTTTGATGGGCAGTCAATCCCCTCGCTCGCTCGAAGGCAATCAATGCTGCCCATCACCGAGTGCCTGCACATTTACGACTGTTCAAACAATTGATTACAATGATCAGGGACACTGGACCCGCTGTCCAGCAGGTGTTGCTCCCCACCAATAGATGGAGCCCTCTCGAGACTGCTACTGGTGTCTGCTCCTATCCGCACCCCTAGCATCATCTTGGGTCGTTCTGTTTAAAAAAAGAAGAAGAAGAAGAAAGAAAGAGACTCAGGGGCTTGGGAATTTGCTTGATGAATTGCTTTTTATTGCACTGCATCGCATTGCATCACGTCCTGACTCATGGCAGATCTTTAGGCTCCACGGATCACGAGGGTGGTGTGCGGGGGTTGTGAGAGGGTATAGGGTTTAAAGGGATAGACATCAGGGGAGCTGCCGAATAAGGGCTGGGCCAACAGATAAAGGCTGCTCCAAAATGGGATGGGTCACACTAGCAGCTTCAAGGGTCAATGGAGCCCCGGGCTGAGAAGAGAAACGACCACCGCCCCAGGAAACAACAAACAGCAAATCTTGTCTCACAAGATCTATCGATGGGACGCTGGACCCGGTTTCCAGCAGGTGCAGCTCCCCACCAATAGATGGAGCAGCCTGCCAATAATAAGCCCTGAATCCTCACGGTTCTCTCACCACCGCCGGGATAGAGGGCTTACACAACGGCTACCGGTGACACGAAGGGAGAGGGGCGTTTCATCCCTTTAGCCCTCATGACCAGAGGGAGTGGGCAGGGGACCTATGGTTGGGACCTACGGTTAGCATTCAGTACATTCTACTGTCATGTAGGCAATCAAGTTAGCTGTCGTGTTGTCGTCCTTTCTGTCGATCTCTGATCTCTGCAGAAACACTCAGCAGCTTACCGTCAATTCTGTCAAAGCAACCATTCCTGCAATCCAAACCACCAACCATATTGTTCAGGTACGCTGGCCCCAGTTTGCAGCAGGTGTCACTCCCCACCAATAGATGGAGCCTCCCTGGGTATGCTAGCTCTGCCTGCTCCTATCAGCACCTCTAACATCACCTCAGGCAGTTCTATAATAAAAAAAAATAAAAAAAATAAAAAATAAAATAAAAAACTAGGAAGATTATCATGACCGGCTGGTCACCCGGGCGTCACACCCGGGATTCCCGAGCATGGGAAAAAAAAAAAAAAAAAAAAAAAGGGGGGGGGGGTTTTCCATGCTCTCTGAGAGGAGCCCAAATCCGGGCTCTTTTCTTTTTTGGAGTGCTGGCTGTCAAGGGGGTGAAAGGGGAGTATAAATGGGGTTTAAAGGGGGGTGCTTTAGTGTGATGTGGTTACATTTTCTTTCTTATCTTCAGATCCGCGAGGAATTCTGATGTGACTCTCAGCCAAAAGTTGTTTGTGTTGCAATTCTACACAACATGTTGTTTATTCAGTTCCTTTTTTTTTTTTTTTTTTTTNTTTTTTTTTTTTTTTTTTTTTTTTTTTCGCTGGGGCTGCTCGGGACCATGCCCGGGGGTCATGCCCGGCCGGTCACCCGGTCGCCAAACCGGGCGTGACGTCGGGATCTGGGCGCCCTTGATATCTCCCTTGCAATTTTAGGAAAACTAGCGACCACTACAGGAAGCGCCCAAATTCATCCGACTAGAGCTGGGCCAAGTACTGGGGTCGCCCGGCAAGAGGCACCGTTGAAAACAAAAATTGGCGGCCTCCGACGTCGTGCGGGTTTCACGCTGACACCCTTGGGCCGATGTATGGTGTGCTGGTGCCTCAAAACGAAAAAAATATTTGCAGCGAAGAGATTACAAGACTACACGAAGACTACACGAAGAAAACGATTTTCAATTTTTCACGCTTCTTCACAGGAAAACCAATGAGATTCTTCTTAAGAATCTTAACCTAAATAAATAGCTTTTCAAATTTCAAATACATAACGTCAGATTGCAAAAAAAAAAAAAAAAAAAAAAAAGGCCTTGACGGATGTTGGAACCAACCGTTCTTTTGAAAGTCACTGCTGCATGCGCGCTGGCATAAAATTCATTCAAGTGGAAAAGTTGCGGCATTGCGGGAATGGCTGGCCGCACGCACGCCGCGACCTCCAGAGGTACTGGTGGTTGAATTGAAAAACGTACAAAGGGAAATAAAAAATAAGAAAAACGGATCTTTTTTTTTCTTTTTTTGAGAACAACAACCCGATCGGGTGCTAGGTGTGCTGATAAGAGCAGACAGGTCTAGCACCGTCGGGGAGGCTCCATCTATTGGTGGGGAGCAGCACCTGCTGGAAACCACCCCGAAAACAGAACACGATTCTGAGGTCTTTGGCTGTGGGGATATATATTTAAAATCGAAAGGGATGGATGAGAGGCTGTGCGGATATATTTAAAACCGACAGGGATGGATGGGATGCACAGGGAGTATCTGTCCATTGGACGCCTGAGTTGCGCCAGAGTGCTGCCGGGTTTGAGATGCGTCAGGGCCAGCGCAGGTCTCACACAATGAACCTATCCCTTGGATGGGCTGATGATTCTGCCAGTCACAATAGCAATGAGGGGTTTAGGAAATAGCACCGGCATCTGTACAGGATGGCAGCGACAACGGCAACTACCGTCTTCCCCTGAACATAACGCACCCTAAAAATGAATGTATACAAGCTATATTTCCGGCCAGATACCGCCAAAATAAGGGTGCGTTGTGTTCGGGGGAAAAGACGGTAGACCTCATCGGCAACTAAAATCCCAACCACAACATAAATGTGTCACCGCCAGGCCACCGGGTTAACCTTGGCCAGGCAAGGGCCAGGGAAGTTTTCTGCAAGAAAAATAAAAATAAATAATCCATAAAATCCGAAAAAAAACAGCCAAAGGCCAGGGACCAAAAAAAAAAAAAAAAAAAAAAAAAAAAATCCAAGTTGCCCAGGAAAGGAAACCGGGGGCCATGTCCCACTTGCACCGTTGAGTTGAGCTAGCTACCCACAGTGCGACACGGTTTTCGTGATTAAAAAACTATTTTCTCGCATTTTTTGTCAATTCCATAAAGACCTTTTCGACAATTTTTTGTATTCTGTGAATATATTGAAAAATAAAAGAAGTAAAGGCGAACTCCCTGTGCCCGAATCTGTGAAGAACCTCATGCGCTGTGCTTACGGAGTGTAGTCTGACACTACGCGCCGATCACAGCGCCTGGCACGACGGCAATCATGAACCTGTGTCCGATAATTTTTCGTTTTCGGGGGAAATCTATCCGAGCAGCCACCGTTGAACTACCTACCCCGTTTTTGAAAAGGCAGCTAGTTCAACGGAAGTGGGCCAGGGTAGGGGGCGTTCTAATCGGGGGCGGCCACATTTTCCCCTTCGTTTAGACCCAAAAAAAAACCCGAAAGTCGTTTATCATTTCACAAATAAATTCAACCGCCCGATGCCCCGCTCCTCGTGTGATCGTGTGAGTCGCCCCAGGTCACACGTAATAGAATACTCAACGTTGAGCTAGCTCAACGGTGCAAGTGGGACATGGCCCCGGACAGCTTTTTTTTTTTTCCAGAATTTTTTTTTTTTTAATATAAGCCAGGAAACGGGCCTGGCATCCCTCAACAAAATTCCATGGTCGGTGTCCCTCACAAAAATTCCATGGTCCTGTTTAAGGCCTAGACATCATCCATAGGTTAAGCCCAAAAACGGGGCCACCACACAGCACAAAAAAAACAGCAAAAGGCGTCCCTCACAAAATTGCCCTATATACGCAGGACGCTGGTTCAAAAAGGGCAAACCCTAACAAATGTTAGTTTCTCCTACCATCCCGAACTGGACAGCTTTTGCCTCAGTGTCACATCGAAATTCTTCAGCAAATAAAAGAAAAGAAAAGAAAAGAAAAGAAAAGAAAAGAAAAAGAAAAGAAAAGAAAAAAAAAAAGAAGAAAAAAGAAAGGTTGTATGTACTAGGCACTACGGGAGTGGGTGGTGAGTCTGGTGACCACTTGCCCGGGCAGGCCAAAAAAAGAAAACGAGTAAATAAAGAAAGAAATAATAATTTTCAATTTAAAAAACATAATAAAAAAAGGAAAACAAGGAATACCAAACCATATATGTTTTTGTGCTATGATAATTTTTTCATAAGCTTTAGAAATTTGTCGTGCGACAGAGGAGGATTGCCGATAGAGGGTCATCCATAGAGAAGGCAACCACCGCAGGTTGCGGACAAAAAGGCTCACTGCCAAAATCCGGCGGTGGTCGGAGAGCAGCCTCCAAAAGGTATCAGACTCAGTTAATAGATACCGGGCCCTTCGGCCTATCTATATAGAGACTCGAACGATGCCTTCGACGCCTTCGGTTGGGGACCCAGCTCTCCCGGGCCCTTTGGCACACATCCCCAGGGGGTTTGGGTC